GCATCTTCTTTCTATTATTAATTGTCCTTTTCCCAGAAGGGACTGTGAAAAATGGGCTGCTTTGAAAACAGTCTTCCCCAGCCTGCTGATGGAAGGAGGGATGATGGACATGGTTTGGATTCTACATCTTGTTGCTGCTGGGGCACCTCTTGCCTGCTCCTTCTGCCTGCAGGAGAGGAGAGGGGTCCAAGGGCACAACTGCCATGCCAAAAGTCACAGTTTTCATGAGTTTCATCCCCAAACCCATTGAGATGTTCATGCAGAAGGGTTTCTCCCTCTGGACTTTAATTTCAGCAGCTCTAGCTGAGCAAACAGAGAGGGACCACCAGGTCCCTGTCACTGCAGTGGGCAACAGCCCTGGGAGACCAGGTTAGCTCAAAGCTAGCTCTGGAATAGCTGCTCTTGCAAAATGGCCATGCAGTAAGTGTCTGAGTGGAAAAACTTTACTAAAAGGTGCATTGTGCTGCCTAAAAATAACTACCACGTCTTTGTCCAAACCACATGCCTCCAGAGGGCTCCAGTATTTAAGCACATTTGGATCAAAGAGGAATCCTAATCAGGGAGATATTTTGCTCTGGCCACAGATCTCTCTGAAGTGACTGGGAAGCATCTGCAGAGGCTCTGGGAGGACTTGGCTGTCACCCATGCTTAGGCACTGCAGTGAGTTGGCTCTTGGAGTGCTTTCCTTTAATTGGGGCGATCACTCACGTGCAGAGGAGCAAATTAAAATCCTGGGAGCTTGGCTCTATAGAGAAGCTCACAGCTGCCCAGGGAAGGCTGAGGGACTGACACAGAACTGTGGGATGCTTTAGGTTGGAACAGGACTTTAAGGTCATTGTATCCAGTCGTTAAGGCAGCGCAGCCAAGGCCACCACTGAACCGTGTTCCCAGATGCCACATCCACACGTCTTTTAAATACCTCCAGGGATAGTGACTCCACCACTTCCCAAGGCAGCCTATTCCAGTGCTTCTCTAGAAGCTTCTCCAGACCCTTTCCCAGCTTTAGTGACCTTCTCTGGACATGCTCTAGCACCTCAATGTCTTTCTCGTAGCGAGGGCTCCAAAACTGAAGACAGGGTTTGAGGTGCAGCCTTACTTGTGCTGCATAAGGGGGACAATCACTGCTCTGGTCCTGCTGGCCACACTACTTGGGTGAGCAGGGGGTATCACTTGTCACCCCATCCCCTGACCCATGGAAAAAATTCCCCTCCAGACACTGTGTTTGCCTTTTCAAGAGTGCTTGCCTGGAGGGAAGAGGCTCCCCAGAGTATGGTGTCTTACCATGGGCTGTGCCAGCATATTTTTGGGGATACCACGACCTGCCACGCTGGGCCTGTGCCTCCAAACTCACTTCTCATCTGTCTCCTCTGTCTGCAGGATTCCTGTAATTCCTCCCAAGTAGATGGGTGAGATTTTGGATGGGAAGGGTCAAGGTCCAGCTGAATCCAACAGATCTCCTTCCTCCTTCACCCTCACCCTGCCAGGCCTGTCCATTGTGGAGATCAGCTTTGCTCCTTCCATGATAGCAAACATTTCAAACACTACTTTAAAAAAATAAAAATAAAATTGTCCCAAAACTCTTTGACTCCCCAAAGCTCCTCTTCTTCCTTTCCCAGCAACTTTCTTTCTTTAAATTTAAGATGGTGCTGGTCACCTTTGCTCCAAAAATACACAAAGCTGCTGCATAACTATTTTCCAAATAATTAATCTTTCCAGTGGAATAACTTAAAGCCTCACGTTTCCTGTTATGTTACACAGCTGCAATTTGTAACAAGAGATCCCGCGCTGAGCTACGTGGGCAGAGGGCCAAGGACGTGGCGCTTTACCTACACAAGAGCCCTACATAAATAATCCTTCCCTGCATGTTAAACAGTTAGGTACTGTTCAGTTAAAAAAAAAAAAAAAGGAGATGGAAAACAAAAGCCTTTCTTTTGGTTGTCATTTCACCTTTTGGAATTAAATTTTCAGCGGTAATCTCTTTTGTTTTGTAAGCTTCGAGGGTTGGGAATGCGCCTTCTCAGCTGCCAGGGACATACATGCTCAGTTCCACTACCAATAGCTGTTTTATTGACTAGTTCACATGTCACACAAATATTTTGTCTGTCATAAAACTTATCCTGTATAACTGGGATCTCCACATAGGCCAAGTTTAAGCAGAGTAATCCTTATTTCTCTGCCCAAAACCAGGTCTGGGTAGAAATCATGGGAGAAGGCCAGAAGACAGGGGATGTCACTGAATGGGACAGCCCTTGGAGGGCCACTGGAGCCAGGCATAAATCAGAGCCACCCTGAGATGGTGAGAAAAGATGCCAGGAGCTGCACTGGTCCCCTGCCAGCTGCAACATGGGACAGCTCTGAGGTGAAATGAAACCTCCCTTGGCAAACCTTCATCCCTCCTCTGCCTGGCACAACATGCAGCTCCCATCACGCTGGAATTTGGGGGTCTGGCCTCCCCAAATCCCTGAGTGTCTCTTGTCATATGTGTTTTACATATCCATAATCACAGCATCATATGGGCTGTGGGGCGACTGCAGGGCTTGGCTGAGGTAGGAGCAGTGTTTATGGGTGTCATAAATCATCACCAGAATCATGCACACTGCACTTGTACAGCCAGGGTAACAGTGAGAAGGACTGGGATATGGCATAAGTCAGTTGTAAATTGTTGTCTTATCAAATTGAGGGAAAGGATTTCAAAGGCTTTCGGCAAAGGCAGATAAGCACAGCGTGCGTGCTCACGGGTCAACCTCCCAATTTCATCCCTGAAGATACAAGTAGAAGTTTGCTGTGGGATGGGAAGGTCTGAAAGCATCTAAACCAGTTCAGCACCCAGCCTCCTGTGCTGTCAGTGGGATTTTAGGCATCATTCACTTTCAGACCTCTAAACACACTCAAAGCATCTAACCTGTGGTTAATGGGACTAACATGAGGGAGGTGGGATGGGATGGAGTGGAGGATGTGTCCCTTGTAAGAGCAGGTGCTGCTGCTTGTCTCCTCTTTTTGGTGAGGAGATGAGGGTCTGAGTGCAGTGAGGTAAAAATCACAGTTCACTCAGCCCAGTGAGGCAATGAGCCTGGCAAGATTGCTTCCAGCACCTCCCAAATTTGAATGACACCCCTATCTGTTTGGGGGGTGGTACCATGAGACTTCCAGGTGATGGAGGGGTCTTGCTGGGAGGAGTGAGTGAGGAGACTGCAAGCTGTGGTTTCCCTTGGCCCTACCCATGGCTTGTGCTCACACTGACAGGATTTACCCCAGGTGACGGGCAAGGTGCCCACGCCAGGACCAGTCCCAGGGCATCAGCTTTGCTGCCTTGGGCAGACCAGCCACATCAGCTGCAACCTACAGGAAAAACCCTTCAAAAGGGAAACAGTCTGAAATTAGGCAAACAGGAGAACAGCTTCCAAAAGGCATGAAAATTAGCTCGTTTCATGCTTAGAATAACCCCATTACTTCAATATCCTGAATGAATTATGCCAAACTTCCCATGCACACAAGCACATGCACAAAATCCCCCTTTGGGCTACTTAACAACAGTGAGAAATTTCAGAAGAAGCAGCTCCTGAAAAGAGGGAATTTGAAACAAAAGTGTTCTTTGGAGCAGAACTACAAAGTGTGTATCATTGTGCTTTGATATTCAGAATGGCAATTGTTCTTCTTATTGTGAAATATATTTCTTTTGTACCAGCAAATCCTTGAAAAAAGCTTAATCTTGCACACATTGTGCATTAGGAAAATTCTCAAATTAAGACCTCTTTGAGACACTGATCAATGCAGTGGTGAGGAAGGCCAAGAAGAAAAAAAAAAGCAGCACAGAGAGGGAAAATTACTTCCTTCTGGACAGAGAGGGCTATTTGTTGTAAGCAAGGATGGGGGGAGCTTACACTGCATTATGAGAAATGATGTTTGTGACTTTCCTTCTCCTATGTGAGAAGGTTTACACCCAGGTCAAGCAGCTATAGAGGTAATTGTTCTTCAAAAGTGTCTGATGTCCTCCTCACACATGGGTGCTGTCAAACTCCATGCAACTTTAAGACATTAAAAACTTGTTTGTGAACTTTTTTACTCCAAAGCACAGAATGAAATGGTGAACTCACATAAGTCCTTGCCTTTTCCCCATGTCTGCTCTTGGTTGCTTCTCTACATGTGACTAAACCATGAGTCCACTTTTTTCATCAGAGTGATCCAAAAGACTGTGTGCCACCTGGAAATGACTTTGTGTCAGCACAACCCTTATTAGACACCACAGTGTCCCTACCAGCAAATTGGCCCAACCCCGGGAACACTTCTACCCTTTCTTGCATGGAAGAGACACAAATCCAGGGTAAATTTGTATATAGTTTCCCCACCACTTGCAGGAATTTGTAGCTTGGGCATCTTCTCCCAAGTTTGAAGCAGTGGGCGGCAAACCTTGGAGAAGAAATGGAAAGACCAGAATGGGAGATCATATATGGCTGGGGAAAGGAATGTAGCAGGAAAGGTGATGAATTGGTGAAAAGAACAAGCAAGCAACCAAAAAGTAAAATAAACTTACAGAAACACAGAGAAGTTCCAGTGAAAGGGGAAAGAGAAACAAGCTGGGAATGTCAGGCAGCAGTATAGACAGTATATTTAGTTAAGCCACTGACACTGGTGGGAAAAGTGACAATTGCAGAGTTTAGATCTTAATCCAACAAGGGAATTTCAGCATAGGCTTATTTTTAGACATGTGAGTAATCCTCATGATTTCAGATCAGAAAGGTAGATCCCAGCTGGTATCATCCTGTTGTCAGCGTGGATCTCACTGTTAATAAAAAAAAAGAAGATTTAAACCTCTTTTAAATCACATTTTATTTTCCCAGTGAAAAAAATATACATACCCAACTTTATTCAGATTAATAAAGACATGGAGGTGGCTGTTGTGAGAGGGGGAAACAGGGTTTGAGGTTTCCTGTGGGCTGAGACAGGTCTGCCAGGGAGGCTGCTCCTGTTCCAGCTGGGTTTTGCTAAGAGCAGGCAGAGCAGGAAAAGCAGAACGATGGAGTCACTTCTGGCATGATGGAGTGAGCAGCAGGACATGGGCACCCAAGACATCACATCCTCAGGAGTGGGACTTGTCTGGTGTAGAGAAAACAGGGCAGGTCACTACTGTGTACACCCCAGGCTGTTGCAACCCATACAGAACACGGCTTGGGTGGAAAGGGAAACAGAAGAGCACATCTAAGGGTGAGCCCAGCTACAACATTCAGTGCACAATTTATTATATTTACATTTTATATAATTTATTATACTTACATTTTATATTCAATAATATTGTTATAGTTACTTATTGATTGCTTCCAACTCCACTGTCTCCTCTTAAAAGTTAGACTAGACATAAGCTTGATATAAAGTATTTTATTCACTGGATTTTTGTGTGGTTTCTTTTGGAGGGGGAGGCAGGATTGCTAGTTCTTTCTGCATCCATCCTTTTAAAATGCTCTCAACAATAAGTGTTTTGAAGCTTTCAGATGCAGTGATTTTTGGAGTGACCCAGCTTCAAGCGACCTGTTCCTACGTGGAGATGGTACTGCTCTCTCTCAGTGACATTTTATCACTTGCTGCAAGCACTGCAGTGTCCCCTGAGACAGCAAAGCCCACCATGGGCTGTTCCTTATGTGCCACTGATCTCCACTGATACCAAAAAGATTAACCACAACCTCATCATCCCCTTTTTGTCTTGGGCTTTGTACTGGTTGTCCTGGTTTAGGGCAAATTTGGGATAAAACCTCCAAAGGGGTTCCTCTAGAAAGCAGATTCAAGTGGCAGCTCCCCAACTGGTTTGGGTCAAGATTTCCTTGGAGAAAAGTGGAAAAACCTATTTATTTAACAGGCAAAGCATTCACCAGCACAAAAAAATTATCAATATTAAACAATAAAAGCCCTTGCTGCTCTGAAGAGATGACACACTCAGAAAGTCCTTTTCATGGCTGCAGCTCGGCTCCCTCAGTCTCTGATCGGTCCCTCGGTGCTGGAAATGCCGCGGCCCAGGCCCGGCCTGGTGGCCACAGGTGGAGCTGCCGGTGCTCTGCTGGGTGTTCAGTCCAGAGCAGGTTTGAATAGCTCCAAGACAAAGAAAAACCACAGTCCAGGGAACTTCTCTGCCTCAGCTAGCTAAAAACTAACTAAGAGCAAAGGAGAGCTCTGTCCCGCTGTCTGTCCATCCGCAGACAGCACAGTCCAGGAGCAGGATGTGGGGGGGCAGGTGCAGTTCCTGATGACAAACTCCACACTGATTCTCTCCCCTCCTTCCCTCTTGGAACCAGTCTTTAAGGTGCAAAACTTATTTCTGGGCTAAACAGACGAATGGGAATACAAGCATCATAAAGTCACCCCAGGACACCGGTAAACCTGCTGGCTATTGAAATATCCACAGAAAACTGCACCTCCTCCTGCAGAGGCTGCTCTTAGCCAACTCCACACTGCTCCAGAGCTTCACATCTTCAGGGAATTTAGGAAAATAGGATGCCTGAAGGGGTCTCAAGTTGCTGGGTGCAGCGTGATGTCACAGAGAGAAGGTTCCTCCATTTGACATTGATGTGGTATTTTTGAGCCCCACGGAGAGCCCCAAATCTGGGAGAAATCACCACCTTCCTTGGAAAGGAGCACATCTCAACGTATTGGCTGACCAGAAAGACCTGTGTCTGCCTGCCTGTGACCTGGCATCTCCTGCTTAAAGATTCATTTTTAGCAAATAGACCCATATAAGAATAATTTTTCAGCAGGTTACTCAGTTGCTTTCCATTGGATTCTTGTGAGACACTTCAACAATGTCCCATAATTAAGAATTTATTTTGGAAATGGGTGGGAAGCAATGAGATTTGGCTAGTCCATCCTCATCCTTTTATCAATGACATTGTGGATCTCTGAAATTTAGGAAGTTAAAAAAAGATGAGGAGAACTCCACTAACTGGGCTCCTTCAAATATACATCAAATTGCCTCCAAGTTAGCCAAACCTTCCAAGGAGGAAATAAGGAATACAAAAGAGATGGAGGAATGACTGGTATGAAGCAGGTAAGATGCTCACAAAATTTAGCATTGTTGCAAAAAACAAAAACAAACAAACAAAAACAAACAGGAGAAAAGGTGGGGGGAAGTGGAGTCTCATTTTAATTAGTATAAAAATTCATCTCCATGATTATGCAAGCATTTTATACTGTCTTAGATACAAGTTCTGTGGAAGAAGTGCTTTACCACAGCTTGCTGCTATGGAGCTGAGAGCAGGAGCTCAGGAAAGCAAGGGCCAGGTCCTCTATCACTCCAGTCCTGAACCTGGTTTAGACAGCAATGATTTAAAAGGACCAGGCAGGAGCAGCAGCTTTATTTACGGGAGGGATGTCTCCAGTGGTGAGGAGTGACGGTGACAGGGGAAACTGGGGCTAGAAATGCTCACTAGCATCCCTGAGACTTTTGCCTTTAGTCAGCTTTGAGAGCAGCATTGAAACCTGCAGACGAGGGGTCACTGAGTGGTGGCACTGAACCAGCCTGAGCATCTTGCCCGCCTTTAGCTCCTCATCTTCCTCCTCTGACCTTTTCCTACGGGGAGAGGAGGAGTGAGGTGGGGGAGCAAACAGCACAGCAGGACTTCAGAAATCCTCCGAATGTCCACGTCAGGAGAGACACGGACCTTGAACACCCATTTATTCCAGCAAGGAGCATTTATCAGTCGCAAGAGCAGGAACCAGAACACGCTTTGCAACACCCGGGCGAGGCAAGGCAGCTCGTAGGGACTGGTGGATCGTTTCTCCCCTTGACTGCGGCAGACAGCGCCCAAGCCCCTCGGCAGCTCCCGGCCTCGCTCTCCCGGCTCCATCCCCGCCAAGCCGGGCTCGGGCGCAGCTCCCGCTGCCGCTGGCACGGCCGCAGCCGAGCGGGGCCGGGCAGGGCCCTGCTGACGCACCCGATTGGTATTAGAAGACTTCACTGGCTATTTATAGCCCCCACCGACCGCAGAAAGCTCTTGGCCTCGCTTTCTCTCCCTGCCTCCCTCCCTCTCGCTCACTGGCTTCAGCTCAGCACGGGAGGGGGAGCACAAGAAATGCTGTCAGTGAAGCAGCGAGTCCAAGCGCCACATTCCCAAGCACAGCAAAATTTCTGCCCCTCCGCTGGTGGATTCAGTCCGAACAAATTATTTCCAGCATGCCGGCCTTTCACTCTGGTGTTCTTTCCTCCTTTTCAGCCTGGATTTCTTTCCCGTTACGCTGCCTTTTTTTTTTTTTTTTTCTCTGTCTCTCTGCGCAGTTTCACTTTCCAGTTCCTGGCATTGGCTTGGCTGTCCCTCAACAGGGCTGGATACACACCAGACACGGGGAGACCTCTCTGTTGAGCTTGGCAGATTTCCCCGGTTCCTGCCAGGAGCTTCCCTGGGTGTCTCTCTCAAACACCCAGGCTGAGCCCTGACCCTTATTTTGGCCCAGGACATCTGATGCTCTCCTGACTGCAGGGCCAGGCTTCAGCTCCCACCTTCACCCTCTGAAGGACAAACCCATGGTCCCCACCCTTGTCACCCACGTCTCTCCAGCCCCTGCCCTGTTCCCGTGCTGGTGGGTGAGTCAGCGAGGACTAAGCGGAGCTGTGGATGGAAATTGTACCTACACATCGACCCCGGGTGCTCCTTCAGCACGGATAACCACAGCAGCAAGTTTTAAAGTGCTGTTGTTGCAAAAGCACAGTCTGCTCCAGTTTGGGGCAGAGGCTGCATTTGGAAATGTGAGTAAAAAGTTCAGTATACCTGGATACAGGCAGTGAGGTAAAAACAATGCCTAGTGTCCACAGCAAAGGCACTGATGGAGAAGTAAAGTCGTCTATAATCACTTCAGTGGAGTGAAAAATAGAGGTCACTGGAGGTGCACATCCATTCTTTTTTTTAACAAAACAATGCTGATTTTCACAATATTTATTGTCAGAAGTGTTTCTAACAGAAACACTCCCGTCTGCATGCAGGCCCTCAGGTTTACAACAGAGGTAAGAGAGGACTACTATGGGAATTAAATCTGGAGCAAGCTATTCTGCTTTCTCAGTGAATTAACCATTGCCCCACCTGAGAGGCTCCTTTACTTGCAGCTTCATCGGCACTTCAGGGCTAAAGCAATCAGGGGGTGGGGTGCCTTCTCATTCTTATCCTTAAGTAAATCACTTTATCTCAGTTTTTGTGTGGCACCCTGCTCCACACTTATCTCTGTGGACTTGCAGGCTCCAGGGCTCTCTCCCACTGCAGGGCATGATGTCCAGCACCAGCTCCAGGCACATCCCCAGAGGGCTGAGGCTCACAGACAAATAACAAAGCCAGGGTCTTTCTCTTCGGAGAGGAATGGCACACCCAGCTGCAAATACCTGGTCTCAAAGTTAATGCATTATGCTTTTCAAATTTATTATTATTTCTAGTATTTACCATGTCCAGTTCTGGGGTCCTCAGTATGAGACATCGAGCTCCTGGTCCAGCTCCTGGTCCAGCAGAAACAAAGATGATGAAGGGACTGGAGCACCTCAGTTGTGAGGAGAGGCTGGGGGGGCTGGGCCTGCTCAGGCTGGAGAAGAGACCCTGAGAGGAGCCTCACCAATGTCTGCCAGTGCCTGCAGGGAGGGGCCAGAGCATGGCCCAGGCTCTGCTCAGCAGGGCTGGGCAATGGGACAAGAGGCAGTGGGACAATGGGGCAGGAGCTGAGGCTCAGGAAGTTCCACCTGAGCATGAGGAAGAACTTCCCTGTGCAGTGCCCGAGCACTGGGACAGATTGCCCAGAGGTGGTGGAGTCTCCCTCACTGGGGATATTCAAGAACCATCTGGACACCCTCCTGTGCCATGTGCTCTGGGATGGCCCTGCCTGAGCAGGGAGGTTGGATCTGATCACTGTGGTCCTCTCCAGTCTGACCCATTCTGTAATTCTGTCGCTCATCAAAATGAAGATACAGGAAATTCACTTGAACCTGGAGATGGTGCTTGACATTTGGCCACAGAACCAAGAGCTATCTTGACAACAATTACTTTTTCTCGACAAGCTTGTCCGTTTGTAACTTTCTGATTCCATTTCTAAACCTCAATGTGAATGGGAGGGACTGTTGCTATAGGTGTCTTACTCACAGCTGTGTCATGACCAGGTCATCTGGGATGTGTGGGACTGGAAACTGGGTAAGAGAAAGGAAATCTTATTCCTTCTATGCAGCTTCTTTAGAAGCTTCACAGAACTGTTTGCTGTGTCTGCCACGGTGAGCAGGCTGCCAGTGGTCAAAAACAAGGAGATAGGAAGGGTCCTGGCAAAGGGAAAGCACCCCTTCTCATCTGACCATGCTGGAACATGCACGGTGTGGTACTGAAGAGCAATGTTCCCCACTGACCCCTCTCCTCACACTACTTCTCTGCAGAGCTGAAAGCCTACAGAACATTTTCAGAGGCAAATCAGTATATACTTGCCACAAACAACAGCCAGGACACTTCATTGCTGCATCCTTCTCAACTCGGGAGATGCTCTAGCCCTGAGAACTGCATGGTCACCCTGGAAATGCAGGATAAGCCAGTAAAATTGCAGGATGCCTCTGGCAGGTTGTTTTAAAAGCAGATCAGAAGCAACAGGAAATTTTTGATCTATTCCTTAGTTCTTACTTCTTCAGTTTTGGAGAGGCACATTCATAAACCATAAAAGCAAATTATCCCTCCACTGACAAAGATCCAACCTTGACCTTTCTGCAGCACAATTAACATGTAAAAGCATTTTTGCCATATGACTAGAGTTGTTCCTTTCATTTACACCTCATTTTCTGCCAGCACCAATGTGTAAGGTGGTCATGACTCACAATAAATATCTGGTAGTTCTCCTACAACAAAATCCTGATTTTGACGGACTTCCAATTTGAGCTGGACAAAAACCTCGTAAGATGTAACTTACTCTTGAATTCAGCATCCTGGTCCACATACAGCTTTGTTTCCTCTGATTTTTGTGTGTGAAATTTTCTCACCAGGGGTTTCCTGCAAGTAAATCTTGTTCTCGTGTCTCACACAAAAGCAACCCTGCTACAAGTACCTGACCCTTGGCATTCAACAGAGGAATGTACCTGATTCACTGCTATGATTTTTGGTATTTTTTCCAGTGCTGCCATTGTGCCACTCTATTCCTAAGCAGGAAAAACCACCCAGGCTCTGCCTTGGATGGGCTGCAGTCAGATGACAACTGGTAATGCTGAGATGCTGCAGGTGGCACACATGGCTGGGGAAGTTTGCACACAAGCACCCACTAGGCATTTCAGAGCTCTACATACATAAAAGTTCTGCTAATTTCTACAATAAACACGCGGGGGACAAACTCCGTATTTAAATTGCAGTTCAAACTTTGGACTTAACAATATTGTATTTTAATATGCTAAATGTCATGTGGCTTCTGGTAGTGGAATAATACAAGCAACTCAGTGTCTTATGCATTCATGGATTAGGTTGTAAATGTTTGTAAACCAGGCAATAAAGTTGTATGAGCAGAAGCATTTATAAGATAATAGTGAAGTAATTTGAGTTTTAAAATTATAGAAGTTGGTGTTTGGCAGTGCTGTGTGGGGAGACAGACACTGGACAGCTGAAAACATTATAGAAAACATTATAACCAACAGAAGAACACAGTCCAAGGTGAAGAGCAGCTTACAAATGTGTATAAATGGCATGATTTAGGGATAAACATTACAGATTATTTTGCCTTTAGATAAACAGATAAAGCTCTGTTTTCTTGCAACAAGAGCTCTGGATCTTCTCTCCTGGTCATTTGCAAAGCAAAGGGATTGGGAATGTGATGCTAAACTTTTGGAGAATGCACATGAGCATAATTATGTGATGGTAGTAACGACATTAAACTTAAATCTCAACCTGTCAAACACCACGAATTGTTTGTCCTGTAATAAACCAAATACTTTTTACATAACTAATTAGAAAGATGAATGTCATTTTAAAAAAGTAGGCATATTACACTTGTATACCTTTGTTCCTAGTTCTGCTTCACAGGGTAGTAGATCAGAAGCACCCAATATCTAAATTAAATTTATAAAATGGCAATTATCTCTGTTTCAGCACACGGTATTGTTATTTCTTTCCTAAATACAGATGGTTTCCAGCAATTGATAAACTCATTGCAGCTGGACAATGTTTGTAGGCCTGCGGCAGAGGATGGTTTTCAAAGGAATTTAAATATTGCAGGGAGTGGTTTTATATTCCAGGGCCCCAAGTTTGCTTTGTGATAGCGGTTTAGTTTCACTGTTGCTCAAGAAAGAAGCCCTCTGTTCAAGAGGGAAATGCAGAAGGTGTGAAGTGAACAAATAAAATGTTCAGTTCTCCATGTCTGGCACAGCAGAGGACTAGGAATCAGCATGGCAGAAAAGGAGACAAGACTGGATAATCAGCAGAGCTAAAAACCTGAACAAATCAAACATGTAATACTGGTTTGCATTCCCAGAATATAAATTAACACCTGGTAAGATGACTGTGTTTTTGAGATAAAATTTTGCTTTCTATGAATACCCTCTAAAATGGCTTAAAAGTCTTTCCATAAACATTTCTAGCCACTAATCTAATGGATGGGAATGTGTTCAAAAAGTAAACATAGATGGAGGAAATTCACTGCTTTTATTCACTTAAAAGTGAGTATTTGCAGGTTTTTAAAGGTATTCCTAAGGTCAATAACTAACTAAACAATCTTATTTTGTAAACAGCTGTGGTGCAGTAAAAAATCCAGGCTCCAAAGGTCTTTGTGTGAAACTATCAACAAAATAATCTCAATTATGCGCAGAAGAACACATATTTTTAGCAATTGTTCCCCTCAACATGATAGACGCTTTCTGATGCTCCCTAGAAGATGTAGCTGAAAGTGAAGTTAATGTCAGCAGGGCACCTGTATGGGATTTCTGACTGCTTGGGATGTGCATGGATGTGAGCAAGGAGGGATCAGGCCATCTAGCCAGACCCTGAATTGATTCAGGCTTTGAAACTTCAGACCCGTGAGCTTCGGGGGAATTACTCCCTGCTCACAGGGGTGGAAGAGCTGCATCAAGGCCCTGGCACGTACCCAGCTTCAGACACAGTGCACACCTCAAGCAGACCTGCTTGCCCGAGCTCCCTTTGCTCTGCATTTTGTGGTTTGGTTCTCTCAGGTGCAGCCAGAGCCAAACCCATGACACACTTCCTGCAGTTCTACCCCACACACAAATTACAGGGGGAGAGCTGCTGGATCTCCAAGCCAGGACACCAACTATCCCTGCAGAGCTGATCCTTGTCTACGAGGCCCCAGTTCACCTGTGAGCACTCCCGGAGCAGTTTGGTAGAAATGCTGTAACTTCTAAGCCCAGTCTAACTGAGGAGCAGCTTAGCTCTGTTCAGCTGAAGCAAGCACAGTCCTAAACAACCAAACCCAAACCAAACCACCTCAGAGAGAAATCACCTTTGGCAGGCAGGCCACGTTTCCAAACTTTTCTCTGTAGCTGTGAAATTGAGACTTTAGCCTTCATAACCTTCATACAACTGCTGCTTCCCTGCCAGCGCTGGCCCTGAGAAAACCCTGCTGCACATTGGGGAAGCTGCAGTGCCATGATGATATGAAATATTCCCTGGGCTGCTGTCTCTGGAAGGGTGTGCAAAGCCCCTGTGGAAGGCTGTGCAGCAGCACGGGATGATTGCTTCTAGACTCTCACCAGCCACAAGCAATCGTGCCCTACCTCACGAGCTCAATTTCTGTGTCAATTCTGTCAGATTATGGCTGCTAAAGAAGGTACAGCCACAAAAAGACAATTGTCTGCCCTGAGATCCCCACCCTTTTCAGTTCTTTGAAGAGGGGTATGTATGTGTATACATATACGGTTTTTTTTCACCTGTCATTGAATGGTGAATTCTCTGTTCATTCTGTTTGCCAAATTGCACAGGACCTCATGCAAAGCCCTCTTTTAGTGCAGCGTTCAGAAGTCTCCAAGCATGAGTCAGTGTGAGCACTGCTGAAGGCTGCAGAACCCTGCAAGTATTTTAACCTCTTGCTAATGGCAAGGGGGGGAAATTAGTGCAGCGTTCAGAAGTCTCCAAGCATGAGTCAGTGTGAGCACTGCTGAAGGCTGCAGAACCCTGCAAGTATTTTAACCTCTTGCTAATGACAAAGCGGGGGGGGAAAGATGACAGATCCTCAGTGCTCTGCTTTTGCTATCAATTCAAAGATGGGAGTTGCTTATAAACATCCTTCATTATTCCCAATCATTAGTCGAAAAGAAAATCTTACCCCCACCGTCTTTTTTTCTTCCTTTTTTTATTCTGACAGGATGGCTTTAATTGTCTTATTTTCTTCCCCTTTCATATTAGAGCAATTTGTGTACTGTCCATCCTGGATTTCTTGCAAGACACTATGGCAAGGATGGCAGAATGGGCCGTTAGATGCCAAGACACAAACCTGAGAGCCTTTTTTGGTGTATGGCTTAACAATTCCTGCTTCAAATGAGGAACTGTGAATTCTCCCCTCCAACTCCCTTGGATTTCAATAAAAGCAAGCAGGAAAATACTGTAATTAGCCCCACCATTTCTGAAGTGAAAAACATGAACAAATTATTGGAGGTTACCATTTTTCAGCTCTTCAATTACTGTGGATGTCAAAATAAGAAAAAAAAAATCTGTATTTATGGCAGTCTGTTGATGGAACAAGTTTTTAAAGCAAACACAATTGTATTTTTTCAGCCTGTGAAAACACCAATGTAATCACTTATTCTGTTATCTCATTATCTTACAGAAGTCTATCAGCTGTTTTGTGCTTTTACTGCAAAAAGCAGGTCTTAGGATAAGAGTTAGTACGTAGAGATGAAGAAGTGAAACACAATTTGAGTATCGCATTTCCTTCACGGGGATTAAAATGTTGGTAAGGTTCCAGCATTTGTTGGAAACTCCTACTGGGCATTACTTCCTCCTCGTGCCCAAAATAAATTCCTCAAATATTAATCATTTGTGATAACAGCGTTGCTGTTTTACACCACTGAAGCTGCTCCTACCTGTCAGTTCCCCCCCAGCAGCAGGAGAGAGGAATTGCGCTGCCGGTGCTATTGCTCTCATTTCTTTCCATTCACCTGGTTAAATTCCGACACCGTGCCGGATCCCGGGATGCGCTTTGTTCTCTAAAAATCGGCCACGATCAAAAACCAACCGAGACCTCGAGCCGTGACACCTGTCAAACACAGGCAACCCGCAGCTTCCCACTTCCAGACCGCGGCGTCCCGAGGGAAGCCGAGCCTCTCCCAGCACCCTCCCCAGGCTTTTCACCGCCGCCAGCGGGGCCTCCCCGGCTTCCCCCGGACCAGGCCCCAGCCCCGCTCTCCTTCCTCCCGCGGGAAACGACCTTGGCGGCGCCGGGGCCAGCCCCGATCCGCCCCGGCCACCTCCCGCTCGGCAGGCGGCTCCGGGCCGGCCCTGCCCCTCCCCGGGGTCTCGGAGGCGCCGGGGGCGGGGGGCGGGGCGCTCCCCCCGCCCCCGCCCGCGCGGTGCCGCCCTGTGACCAACTCCCGTGTGTGAGTCACGGCAGCGCCGTCAATGCCGTGTGCGGGCGGGCGGCGCTGCCTGGGCTGCCCCGGCCCCCCTCCCCCGGCACAGGGCTGGCGGGCCGCACTTGTCACCGTGTCACATCCTCCCCGCCGCCTGCCGACCCGGCTCACCCTCCCCAGCTCGGCCGCCGCCCGGGGCCGCCGCGGCGGCATGGGATAGAGCCGGGCACAGCCGCCCCCGCCGCTCGTTTTACATTGACCTCCCCGCGGTTTAAATCCCTCCCCCGCGTGTCCCCCCCGCCGCCTCCTCGCCTCCCCCGAGCCCCCGCTCCCCCGGGCGCCTCCCTCGCCGTTCCTCGCCGCGGAGCCCCCGGAGCGGGTGAGTGCCGGGCACGGCCCTCCCGGGCTCGCTGAGGGGCTGGGGGTGCGGGGGGCGCGGGCCGGGGCAGCCCCGGGCTGTGCGGGGCGGCCACCGACAACTGTTCCAAAGTTGGGGCATTCCCCTCCCGGCGCAGCCTGGCGCTGCCCGCTCGGACTGCAAAAGAAGGGGGAAAAAAAAATACAGGTATAACCCCCCGGCGTCGTTGCCAACTTCTAGTGCGTGTCGTGCTGCCGGCGAATGTAATTTTGATTTAATGTTGGTTATTTTCCCCGCCCGGGTTGAGGCTGTGGTGATGGTTGGCGTGAGGGTATCCCGAACGCCGCCCGGGTCGAGCAAGCCCTCCATGCCGGGCTCCGGCCACTGTCCGTGCTGGAAAAGCGGGGAATCCCACCTTTTGTATTTCTAGGTGCTCCATCCTCCTCCCCACCCTGTCAGTCCTGGATGTTTCGCTGTTACCTGGGCTTCACTTGCCGTGGCAGGAACATGCGTGTTTGGAAGGGCGAAGCCGTGGTCCGCAGCGGGGAGTTTTGGTGTCTTGGCTTGGTATTGGGAGCGCTTGATGCGAAATGGTTATGTCTCTGTTTCACTGCTATTGATTTTTATTTTCTTTTTTTTTTTTTTCCCCTCAATGTATTTTTAGAACATGAATGTGGTGTGTGTTGTGTGCTGTATGTACAGAGCAGCTAAAATAAAGCAGAGGCGTGGAAAACCCCAGCAAATACAGCAGTGCTTCCATGCACAGGGCATCCACAGCCTCAGTACTCTGCCAGGTTTATTTATTAATATTAATTGCTCGATCTTTGTAATTTATATCATATGGAAACTAATTGCTGAATTGAAGGTTTACCAAACCTCACAGGGCTCCAAAATCATCTGTCTCAGGCATCTGAAAAATAAATCTACTGAATTTTTGTTATGAGGAAAGGCCAGCATCCTTCTGGGAATCCTCCACATGAAGTTTCTCTTTCTAAAGGCAAGCACTCTTGTAAATAAGTCCTAGTAAAGAATGGCTTTACTCAGTGGGCACTCAAGTGTATGCAGAAGGTCAGTGAATTTCTAGAGAAAATTAAATCTTTACTAAATATTGTCTTGCTTTTGTCTATAAATAGAGGGAGAGAAACAAAAATAAATCAGCTGTGCGATTGACATGAAACAGAAAATCAGTCCTTTTCCCAAGGGGTGACTCGCCCAACATAACCTGAAAACTTCCTAAATTTTGCCTTTGTGGGGAGGGGTCCTTCAGCTGCAGTCTGTTGAGTCAGTGTGAAGCGGGCCTGTCTCTCCTCTGGAACTGGCTTGGCACCAGCGTAACTTCATTAACAGAGCAGATTTGCATTAATGCGAGGAGTAATCCAGAAGCTCACGTTTTGAGGAAGGCCCCTGTAGTAATGACGTGACAAGTCGTGATTCCTCCCCTCATCAGACCCAATTACAGCACCCTTACTCACTCGGAGTGGCACTTCACTGCGCAAGTGCTCCTGCGATGCTGCTGGGGCTGCCTGTGTGCCACAGTGCCAGTCTGGGTGAGGTGGAGTGGCGCTTGTTTTTCTCATAATTGTTTTATTCCCTTTCCTTGAAATGACAACGTGGTGGATAGCTATTTTTTCCTTGGGCCGCGAAGAAAACTTCTGAGGATTAAATGTAAATCTGCTTTGTTGAGTGACCGTACCAAAAACCCCCTGTTTAAGACTTCTGTGCTGCCAAGTGAAACGGGCAGGTAAGTTTTCTGTGTGTTTAGCTTTCCCCTGTTTCTACAGAAAGCAGGAAAAAGATTGTTGAAAATTGAATTATCTTGTCCTGAAATTCCTCTGCCCTGTGGGATTCCACACCTATATGCGGTGTTCAAGTTGGAGTTGTTTTCCTAATTCCCCTGTGTCTCTAGAACCGCCCCCACCCCCCAGACATTCACATTGCATTGTTAAGGTGTTTGCTGTTGAAATCACTGGCAGAAGGATCGGGCCCTCGGCTGGTTTTCTTTCAAGCAGTTGGTAATGACTGGGATGTGATGTTGTAGAGAGATAATATTATCTGGCGTGTCCATAGCTCAGATCCACTGTCCTACCACAGTGTCAGAAGAAAGCTCTGTGCTAAGCAGCCTGTAAAGAAAATGTCTAACAAAGCAGAATTGTCTTCTGCATTTCTGTACTTTTATAAATCTCTTGAAAGTTTGTTTGATGCTCTTTCAGAACAAGACAAGATCCCTGCATGTTTGTTTCATGTTTTCACTTCCTCGTATGACTGTGTTCATTGCTAAGCCTTTGTGTCACTGATTGAGATGTTATTGTAATTAACATTAATTATGCAAACTAGATTGTTTTTAGAGGCTCTCCAACTCTGTATTGATACCGTCAGCTTGTTTGTTTGTTGAACAAAAATCCACACGTTTCACCATTCTCGGAGGAAATAGATTAACCGATTCCAAGTTAATATATGCATGGGAAACTATAACAAAATCAAGTTATATTAGCTCAAATGGCACAATGAACCTTGATGGATGTGGTGAACAGAGCATGGCTGGATCTGAAATACCGAGGCAGGGCAAACAGGGGGAGCAGGAAAGGGGACTCTAGGTACAGTCATTCGGGGAGGGTGTTTACACTGCAGAGTTCCATTACATCTTTTCCAGAGAGACAGTACTAGGATCAGTTGGGCCAAATGCTGCCATCCCTAATTGAATGAAACTCTCACTAAAATACACTGAAGCTGCCTGCTTGAATTTTTTTGAGAAATGGAGAAAAATAGCAGAGTTTAATTAATTAATTATTTAGGACATTTTTGATTTTAGACTTGGAGAAGATATTTTCCTTAAATTTGGTTTAGAAGGTATTCCAGGGTTGTCTTTTTAAAATAAAAGCTTAATAAAAATATCTTTGAAATATACATCCCTGTAGCGATGGTAACATTCTGTCATTTTTTTACAATGCTGATTGTAGTGACATCCACAGAAGTCTTCATGTCTGATTCTGAATCACCCTTTTGAAACCCTTCTGAGCTGAGAAGGATTTTAGAATTTCTCCCTAGAAATCAAATTTGTTGCAATGTTTGTATGTTGTATTCTTGTGTACTCTTAGGAAGAAAAATAATAGAGGCGGGGAGAGTTTAAATGGGAATTGGCAGTCCTGATATCATGTCTGAAAATGTATGCAGACTGGCAGATTATTCCCTGTCTTAAAAATCAAGTCTCTCTAACTTCCTATTTAAATAAGCAAAATTTGGTTTGCAGTTTGCTTTGAGTAATAAAAGGGATTTTTTTTTTTTGTTTCTACTTTTGGTGCAGTGGTCCTCTGGAAAGTTAGAAACAGCACCCTGGGGCTCAGCGAAGTGGAGGGTGTATAATTATATGGGAAGGCTCCATAGCTTCAGTGAATTAGCATTAGCAGCTGAGTGAGTTTGTTAAGTTGTAGAGATGGCATTATGGAAATCAATAAAATGCTGATTTCTTTTCCTTATTGCAGATTCCACGTTAAAAGGAAAATACGCTATTTGTTTGTTTGCCTTTCATGTAGGCTTGCCAAACCATTAGTTGATATGGAAAGGCAGGTTTTGCAGCTCCGGCAATCAGTAGTCAGGTTTGTTTTGTTTTGCTTTTTTTAGACTCTTTTAAATCTTTATTTATTAGATTGTCTTCCAGAAATCACACTAACATCCTGGCCTGCAAGTGGCTTCACATGTGTCTGTTTGTCAGCAGAGGAAAAAGGGAAGGTCACTTATTTTTCTTATGACATGCTCGTGTGGCATTGTCTGTTGTAGCCCAAATGCTCTATGTTCCTGATGTTCCTGTTTCTGCTTTAAATTAAGTTCTCCCAAGGACTTGGAGGGTACTGATGCTGAAATCCACGTTCAGAATAAAAGAGAAATAGTGACCCTAACTGTTTTCAGAGGTGTGCACTAGGAGGAATGATATTAAGCACTATAAGATGTATAATGTGCATTGGCCTTTATTTCTTTGTCTCAAAGCTTCTCCTGCTTTTATACCAGAGAGACAAGTACCCAGATCATTCATCACACTGAGCTCTTACAGAGACATGACAGACCAACAGCCTTATGTTGCACGCTGTGGAACATGTACAGTGCATTAGGTTCTGATGATCTATATAAAACATTTTAATTGGGAGGAGCTGTAAATGGGAACGGCTGTCTTCTAATCCAAGGGCTTCGCTTTTTCTTCTCCCTGATTGAAATGAAACTTAACTTCACCATCAAATTATTCTGTTTTAATGTAGCTGTATGTTATGATTCCTGATGAAATGGGTTATTCATGCCG